ATACTGTGGCGGCTATTCGGCAGAGCAGAAGTGGACCTCTTCGCGTCAGAAGAGAACGCTCACTGCCCAATATTTTTCTCAAGGAGCGAGGACGCGCTAGCCCAGGAATGGCCTCGCCGCCCGCTCTATGCATTCCCTCCGATCGCTCTGCTACCACAGGTAATTCAGAGGATCAGGGACACACGCCACTCGGTGCTCCTCATAGCCCCGCGTTGGGAGAGTCAGAATTGGGTTCCGGAGCTCACTCAGCTGTCGCAGACAGCCCCGTGGCCCATCCCAGTCAGAGCAGATCTCCTCTCTCAGGCTCGCGGCACGATCTGGCACCCCCATCCACGGCGCTGGGCGCTACATGCATGGGTGATCAACGACTATTCGTTAATTTGCCAGAAGGAGTAAGAAACACTATCATACAGGCTAGAGCACCTTCCACGAGAAGGCTCTATGCGTCTAAATGGTCTGTGTTCTCAAAATGGTGCACCGACAAACATCTGGACCCACGGTCATGCGAGGTGCCGTCTTTGCTTGTTTTCCTTCAAGAGATGCTGGACAAGGGCAGGTCCCCCTCCACTCTCAAGGTTTACGTGGCAGCCGTCGCGGCGTTCTCTGAACCCCGACGCGCTCAGTCCCTGGGCAAAGACGAGTTAGTCATCCGCTTCCTCAGGGGAGCTAAGAGGATGAACCCTCCGCGCCCCCCTTCGGTTCCTATCTGGGATCTTTCTATAGTTCTCGAAGCTATGAAAGCACCCCCGTTCGAACCGCTCGAGTCTGTGGACCTAAAATACCTCTCGCTCAAAACCGTTTTTCTGACGGCTCTGTCCTCAGTAAAACGCGTGGGGGATCTTCACGCGCTCTCATCCAGCGCCGCGTGTCTCGAGTTTGGTCCGAATGATTCTGTTGTCATTCTCATACCTAGACATGGCTATGTCCCGAAGGCGATTGGTACCCCGTTCAGGGCTCAGATTATTTCCCTATCGGCTCTGCCTTCATCCGATAGTGAGCGCGACGCCAATCTCCTCTGCCCGGTGCGGGCTCTGAGATTGTACACTACGTGCGCTGCCGCGTTCAGACGCGCTGAGCAGCTTTTCGTGTCGTTTGGGGGGCGCACCAAAGGTCTGGCCGCCTCTAAACAGACACTGTCTAGATGGATAGTAGACGCTATCGCCTCTGCTTACGCATCTATATGCCTGCCCTGCCCTCTGGGCATCAGGGCGCACTCCACTAGAGGCATGGCCTCATCGTGGGCATGGTCCTGTGGAATTTCCATTCATGACATTTGTGTGGCCGCGGGATGGGCCTCCCCGTCCACTTTTGTCAGGTTTTACAACTTGGAAGTTCCCGCCTTGCAGGCAAAATTACTAGCTGTCTAAACGACCAGCTCCCTAAGAAGCTGCATTACTGGGAGTCCCTCACACAACCGGTTCGCCCCTTGTGCTCTCCTTAAATGCTTTTACACTTCATGTGCCCGCTTTGCCGGCCTCTTACATGCTTATGTATACACCTCATGTGCCCGCTCTGCCGGCCTCATAATACATTCACTCCACGTTAAAAATCCCCCGGTATCACCCTGGGATTCATGAGTGGATTCATAGCGCGCACGGCGTTGACCAGGTGTTCCCGCAGCGTAAGCTAGCTTACGCAATACGAGAGAACCTCTCGTAAGAGAACGAATCGGTTACCTAACGTAACCTCGGTTCTCTCTAGAAGAGGGAACGAGTATTGCGTTCCAGGCCGTGCTTGCGCTACTAGCGTTTAGCTTCACGCTGAAATAAATCAACATATAAGCCTGGGAGAGACTGTTATATACACCATAGCCACGCCCATTCTGGCGGGCCATGACGCAATGAGCGCGCGGGCGCCTCTCATTGGAAGCGGGTTCAGCCCCGCTCTCCCATAGGCTTAAGCAGTTCTCTCTGAGCGAACCAATGAGCTGCTAGCTAGCCTGCTCTAGGTCTGCCGCAGAGGAACTGCGTTGTGTATGGATACAAATTATGAAATAATTTTTGGCTTCAATATCTCAGCAAAGATGAATCTTTCCCGCAGCGTAAGCTAGCTTACGCAATACTCGTTCCCTCTTCTAGAGAGAACCGAGGTTACGTTAGGTAACCGATTCGTTTTAATGGACCAAGGCTAGCAAAGGCTTTCTGGGTTGCAGCAGAAATACCTGTAATATATTAATTATCATTGCCAAATTTCAGGATTTTCATGGATTTTGGACAGTAATTTTAAGCATTTTACATTTGAATTATATACAATCTATCTATTTACATTTGAATCATATTCTATCTATCTATCTATCTATCTATCTATCTATCTATCTATCTATCTATCTATCTGTCTATCTATCTGTCTATCTGTCTATCTGTCTATCTGTCTATCTGTCTATCTGTCTACTGTCTGTCTGTCTGTCTGTCTGTCTGTCTGTCTGTCTGTCTGTCTGTCTGTCTATCATCATCTTTCTATCTTTTAAAAATCATTAAACATTCAAATGTATGCATTACATTTGAAAAGATTAGAGTATTATAATAAACTGATACAGATTTTTCGTTATCAAAGTTTATAGTTGTAACAAAAAGCAGAAATCTCACACTCCTTGCCATCTGCATTTTATAATAATTTCCTTTTCCTCTGTCGAGCGATCATGAGAGTAATCGCTCGACAGAGGAAAATATAACCGCTGAAAAGACGTAGGAGGAAGGGGCTCTGTGTTTCGTGAGACCATTTTTATCATTTTATATGCCTTAATTCGTGAATTCGTAATTGGCGCGTTTCACCATCAGTGTGCAATCAGGGCCGCATTAAGAGCTCACTGGGCCCCGGGGCTATGAGTTACTGCAGGGCCCCCCCACCACCACTTTAGGTCACCAACTACATGAGCTAAATGTTCTATCATTATACAAGTCATTTTATTAATCTATGATATACTTCACACAGTTAAGTTATATTACTTTTAATACGATTTTTTATCATATCAAAATTTTATGCCACTAAAATTTCATAATTCTTGTGACCAATTTCAATATCACAAAAAATAATAGTAGCTTAAAGCTGCTGTCCGTAGCTTTTTTTGGGTTAAAAATTATCCAAAATACATATTTGATAAAATACATAACCAGCCAGTGTTCAAAACTCTCTGCTTGCCTTAGCTCGATGCAAAACGGTAAGCTTGTAATAATGTTTTTAATTTTAGTGGTACTGGTGGATTTCCGCGGGAGATTCGAGCATGTCTTTGCGTCATTACGTCACATCTGTACACATAAAGAAGGAGTCTCGGCTAGTATAAGCTATATTGCGTGTGAGGATGTTGGAGGTAGAGATTTATAGCCTTTTCTCACAGCACTTGATATAATTAAACTTATCAATTTGATGGCGGATCCAGAAAGGTTCAAACGACGATCATCATCAGTGACAACTAGAGACTCACCCGCTGTAAAATGCAAAAGACTTCGTTCGGACTTCGGAGTGGCTACAGAAAAAAAAGAGACTGCAACCGGACCCATGCGAAAACAAGGATAATATCGGAAGGACATTACATGATGTAGTCACGCAATGCTTGCTGACGTTGTTAACATTAACAATTTGAGAACATAGTATAGCTACTTTGCACGGTTTTGCGTGAAATGATAACTTATAAGCAATTGTTAGATTTAATCAGCGCGATTTACTGCAATGTCAGAACCAGAACAAAAGTGAATGTTTCTTACTAGTTCAGATGACATTTCCCGGTGAAAATTCTTATGTTGGTCGTACTTCCAAAAAGAATAATCTGTGATTCTGAATGACAATATCCACATCGGCGCGGTGACTGACAGCTGCACACTCTCCTCAAACACTGTGTTCATCCGCGCTGTGACGTGTCGAGGGTGTTGAACTACAACTCACGTAAAGTTGATAATTCCGTGAATGACTGCAATTGCAGATTTCGAACAGAGATGGCGACAAAGAGGAAAAATGCCGGACTGCAGCTTTAAGAAAAGAATCTCAAGCTTACTGATGACAAGAGTCACAAATAACAATAGAACAAAGGCACATAAGAAATCGACCTACTTGAAAAACTTAAAGCACTGAATAATATTATATTGTATAAGTAATCAAATATTCAATACATAGTTTTCACTATAAATTCAACATTCATTCTTATTAATTTTACAAAAGTGATTCAGTCAAGGGCAGTAAATTACTTTATTTCTGATGTTTTATCATTGACACAAATGGCGACAGCAGCTTTATTAGTAGCTTCTGTCACTTTAAGACCTCAGGGTCGGAACTCAAGTGCGCTGTGCAAAACCGTCTCAAGTTCACCATGGTCTCAAAACCAAAATGAATTCTCTCCCGCTGCTTACTGTGCCTGAGCAGTTTAAAATAATTTGCGTGGGGTCCGGATAACAGGAAAGTACCATAATTTGTATCCAAACCACAATGCTTAAAAACGCGTTTAAATTATAGCCTAAACTTGTATCATGATGGCGCAGGAAAATGTACATATTTCTACCGGATATATTATCGCCAGCCCTTGTCATGTGTCGATGCTTTTTAATGAAAGAGGAACCGAGTCGGCTTGCTGGAATTAACTGTTTTATTAACCGATCCTTATTGCTACAGCTAAGCTACTGAGCATAACACTGTCACATGCATTCCACACTCTCGGAGGCCCCCACTGACGTCACCGTTGTGCGACTCCCACAACCTGTAGTTACATATCACAACATCTCCCCCTTTTCAAAGGTTAAAGCTTCAACAGTAAAACAAGATGTACTACATCAAATAAAGATAAACATGAACATAACAGTCTCTGGGTGTTTGATGAATTACATTGGCATTACTTATTGTGATCTCAGGCACCTAATTTCTATTTATCCTATCAATTATCGGATCTTTCCCAAACATAACAATCTATTCCCATAGAACATAACTCGGGAACATAATGTAGCTGTATTAACTATACTTATCACCCAAAACAGAAATACTGAGGAAACAGTGTGAAGATAAGTATCAATAAATGTTCAAGTGTCTCTATATCTGAGAGGTACTCTGACCTCACGACCTCTGGATGTCACTTGAACAGTTCTCTGAGGGGACGGCTGGTGTGGTGAACACACCACAGGTGAATCTTTCAGTCTCTGGACAGAAGCAGGGTCACCATGACTGGGTCTAGCCACAGAAGGAGGGCTGCTGTGCAGCTGCAGCGGAGATCCCTCAGACTGCTGCTGGTGGTCTGGAGAGTCAGCCAGCTCCGGGACTGCCTGCAGATGTCTTCTATTGCGTCGCAGCACTGCACCGTTATCTGTCTTCACGATGTAAGACCGGGGCTCACTGCACTTGCTAATGACTTTAGCAGACGTTTTCCACCCCTTTTCTCCATCCAATTTCACTCTAACGGCCTGCCCGGATTGGAGATCAGGAAGTGGCAGAGCAGAGTGACGGCGATCGTGAAAGAACCGGTAGGCTGATTTAGCCTGAGCATCCTTCTGCTGGATTTGATGTCTGTCCACAGGAGAAGCTTGTAGTTTTCCTTCCAACATAGGAAGTGTGGTCCTAATGTCTCTTCCAGCCATAAGTAAAGCTGGGCTCACCCCCGTAACAGCACTAGGGGTGGCTCTGTAACACATTAGAGCAATATATGGGTCTGGCTGCTTTAAAATGCGCTTAGCGGTCTGCACGGCTCTCTCGACAGCACCATTTGCTTGGGGGTAATGAGGGCTGGTAGTCGTATACACAAACCCATAGCTTTGGCAGAAGTCTTGAAACTCACCCGAGGTGAATTGTGTGGCATTGTCGCTCACCAGCTCCAGCGGTATCCCCCATCTTGCAAACATGCCTTTGAGCCTGGTAATGACCTGGTGGCTGGATGTTGAAGACAGGTGGGAAATTTCAATGTCCCTGGAATAATAATCAGTCACAATGAGATAATTCTGTCTTTCTATCTCGCACAAATCAGCAGCAATGCGCTGCCAGGGTCCCCCAGGTAAAGGTGTGGTGAGGAGCGGTTCACGTCTTTGAGTGCGTCTATTTTCAATGCAGAACTTACATGTTGACACTGTCGTTGTGATCTCTGCACTGATACGAGGCCACCATACTGACATCCTAGCTCGAACACGACACCTTGTTAGACCTTGGTGTCCCTCGTGTATCTGTTTGAGCACTTCTGACCTAAGTGCAGTTGGGATAACCAGTCTATCTTGATACAACACTAGTCCATCGGTCTCAGAGAGGTGAGCTCTGGCAGAATAATATCCATGCAGGGATGGAAACAGCGATGCCCTTGGTGGCCATCCGTTCCTAATGAACTGCGCAATCTTTTGTAGCTCTTCATCCTCTAGTGTAGTGGAGCGGATTTTTCCAAGTTTTTCTGATGAAACAGGCGCATTTTCTACCACTGACTCCACATATGCTTGAACGTCCTGGTCAGTGTGTTCATCACCACTGTCAGTCAGTGGGCTCCTAGAGAGAGCATCGGCTATGATAAGCTGCTTCCCCGGGACGTGCTCAGCCACAATATTGAATCTCAGTAGGCGCATTAGGAGTCTTTGGCACCGTGGAGGGACTTTGTCCAGCTCGTATGTATTTATGAGGGGTACCAGTGGTTTGTGGTCTGTTTGTAAAAGGAAGTTTTCCATGCCTTGCACATAGCGAACGAAGCGCTCACATGCCCACACCCCTGCAAGACACTCCTTTTTAATTTGGGAGTATCTCTTCTCTGCATCTGACAATGTGCGGGAGCAGAATGCAACTGGCTTTAACACACCCTCCTGTTCCTGCAATAATGCCGCACCTAATCCGTAGCTGCTCGCATCGGCGCTGATGACAGTCTTGCGGTTAACATCATAATATGCAAGTGCTGGTGCTGCCACGAGCGTAGCTTTCACTTTCTCAAACGCCGCTTCTTGAACATCACTCCACACCCACTCACTTTCTTTCCTGAGCAGGGCAGTGATGGGATGCAGCTGTGAGGAGAGGCCAGGCAGGAACTTTCCAACATAGTTGACAAGACCTAGAACCTGTTTAAGTTCCGTAACATTGGTTGGGCTTGGCATCTGTGTGATGGCTTTAACTTTATCAGTGTCAGGTCTCATGCCTTCTGCACTTATGAGGTGGCCAAAGTACTTTATTTCTGTTTTGCCGAAATGACACTTGGCCTTGTTCAACTTTAAACCACTGTCCTTTATGGTCATCAGCACCGCATCAAGACGGGTGTCGTGTTCTTTCCTTGTTGCTCCATAAACAAGTATGTCGTCCATTACTACTACAACTCCATCATGACCCTTTAACAGTGTCGACATCTGTCGTTGGAAGATTTCTGGAGCTGATGTGATACCAAATGGCAGCCGTCGGAAACAGAATCTCCCCATTGGGGTGATGAAGGTTGTCAGCTTTTGGCTTGCAGCATCCAAGGGGATCTGCCAAAATCCGCAGGTGGCGTCAAGGGTAGAGAACACTTTAGCTCCAGCTAGCTTGGGAGCAATATCCTCCAATGTTGGCATGATGTACCTCTCTCGCTTAACCGCCTTATTTAAGCGCTTTAGATCGACACACACTCGCACTTGCTCCTTGTTCTTTTTCACTACTGGAACCATCGGGGTACACCAGTCAGAAGGCGCTGTAACCTCCTCAATTATGCCCAGGGCCAGCATGCGTTTAAGTTCAGCCTCTACTTTAGCCAGGAGGGGGAACGGGATGCGACGTGCCGTCGTCAGTGAGTAGGGCTCACAGTCAGCTTTAAGCTCGATTTTTACAGGGTCGCACTTGAGCAACCCGATATCCCCAAACACCTGACTTAACATTACAGTGTCCATCCCGTCTACTCTCATGACCAGTCCCATTCTTGTGGCAACACTCCGTCCCAGGAGGTTGTGAGAGTATGGCCCTTTAATTACAGTTATCCAGAATCTGTACTTTTCTCCTTTGTACTCACTTGTTGCCAGGAACTTGCCAATACTCTTAACTTCGCCGCCGGGGCTGGTGATGGGTCCTTTCGTTGCAGTGACCAGGCGGGAGCGCTGTGGCAGTCTCATGAATGCAGCCTGTGACATTACACTGACGTCTGCCCCAGTGTCTATTTTGAATTTCACAGTGCTGCCATTAACAGGTAAGTCAACGAGCCACTTATTTTCTGAATCAGGTTGATCCATTATGTCTGACACATGTTCAGTAACTTCTCCAAGGAAAAACATCTCATCTGTGTTAGTGGTGCTGCTAGGCATTGTAACCACCTCTTTCAGCATCCTCGTCTGACAAGCTGCCTCAAAATGTCCAATTTTATTACACCTTCTGCACTTTTTATTCTTGGCTGGGCAAGGATGTATTTTACCATGTTGTCTGTTACAGCGGGGACAGGTAGGATGCTGTTTTGACTCACTGTGTTCCTGTTTTTTCTGCCATTGTCCATCGTTGCTGCTCCTTTTGCCATGGAACGGCCGCCTCCCCTGTCTCATGGCGTCTACTGCACACTCCGAGCGCAGGCTCACATTCTGTTGCTTTATTTGTTCGCTCTGGCGCACTATTTGAATAGCTCGTTCAAGAGAGAGTTCCGGCTCGAGCTGTAACTTCTGTGATACATCGTTGTCAGATATGCCAATAACTATTCTGTCCCTGATTTGCTCATCTTTAGTGTGCCCAAACTCACAGTACTGTGCTAGTTCGTATAAACTTCTCACAAAAGCCTCTACTGACTCACCAGGCTTTTGTGCTCTCTTGTGAAAACATGCTCTTTCATGGATCACGTTTCTCTTGGGCACAAAATGATCGGAGAATTTGGCTATCACCGTGTCATAGTCCTACCTCTTTCCTCTTCATCCTCTCCGCTGTCATCGTACACAAAGGAATCATAAATCGCTTCCGCCTCTCTCCCCATTGCGTATAGAAGCGTGTTTACTTGCACTTCACCGCTATCTTTGTCCAACTTTGACGCCACCCGAAAGCGGTCGAAACGTCGGCGCCACATCGGCCATTCCGCCGGCCGCGTGAAGTCAAAAGATTCCGGAGGTCCGAGCTTCGCCATGTCTTATTTTCAGAGCGTGAAGTCGGCCACTTCTGACACCATGTCATGTGTCGATGCTTTTTAATGAAAGAGGAACCGAGTCGGCTTGCTGGAATGAACTGTTTTATTAACCGATCCTTATTGCTACAGCTAAGCTACTGAGCATAACACTGTCACATGCATTCCACACTCTCGGAGCCCCCCACTGACGTCACCGTTGTGCGACTCCCACAACCTGTAGTTACATATCACAACAGCCCTTTAGGCGAAAATTGATCAAACACAAAAAGCATCATACATCCATCAAGTTAATAATCAAACTTTCCGAAAATTTGTGGGGTCGATGATGACGCATGTGTTTTAAGAATAGTGTGAAGTTTCTTTTGTTTAATATTCATTGTATTCTATTTTCACATCTTTTTGTTAAGGACTTTTATTTTGGTGTTGAGTCCTCAGAGAGAGGATGATGTAATGAGAAGCGGGAGTGCGGGAGAAAAAAAGGGATAGAAAGGGTGCGAGCGAGGAGTGTGGTGTTGCTCTGCTCTCTAATTCTAACACTCAATAAAAGTTGTTAGCCGTCAATATTCCAAGTCCATCGTCATTCTTGAGATTAATCCACGGACAGTTAAACCCCGGCCACGCCTTACATATTTGGTGGCAGCGGTGATGGTCTCCGGCCTCTTTGGAGAAGTTTATGCTGGACGGGTAACTTATGGTGACGAAAACGAAAAATATATGATATTTGCTGCCCTTTCATCATAGAGACTGGATCAGTTGTACTGGTGGGTTAACTCAGACTGGAACGCGTTTTGCTTAACGTGTAACGTTTTCATTTACATGGACTGTATTCATACGGACTATATTTATAACTTTAGAGCAGCTTTATTGTTTTCACCATCGTGTGAGTTTTCTTTTCATGTACAGTTATTTGTTTATTTCGTTTATTTTGGTGGGGGAAAAAAAGAGTAAAGAAGACGCCTGTATCTCGACGGTTCGAAGTTGGCTCATTGCCAGGATTTGACGACGCTCACTTTTTCTGAAACGTGCGCGCGTGTCTCCCTCCTGTGGCGGCCTTCGGTAACTGCACATAGCCGAGAGTAAAAGGAGAAAGCACTGCAAATGTGACTTAGAAAATAGACTTGTTATAAGTGTTCATCTACTTTTTTTAAACATTTTTATATATACATCCTCACTACAAAAGTCACAGTATAAGTCTAACTTGCAGACAATCTTTATCAATAAAAGACTTTGGTGGACTTAACTGGTTGGTACAACTGCATTGGCATTACTCTTTTCAAACATGGCAGAAGACAATGTAACAACCCCACAAGTGCACTTCAGAGCTGTTTTACCTCCAGACTTCACTGGGGATGGCAACGAAAGCTTTTCTCAATGGGCTCGTCGTTTTCAAGTATGCTGCGAGACCTCAGGTATGGACAAACCTCAGCTTGCCAAAGTACTTCCTTCAAGATTGGCAGGTGCTGCATTCAGTTACTGGGATAGTTTGTCAGATGACATCAAAGCTGATTATGACAGTACATGTAACAAGATTGCTGCAGTTTTTGATCACAAACAGCTACTGAGAACTTTTCAAACATACTTAAATGCCAGACCGCGTCGCAGCAACGAGCCATTTGAAGTGTATGCTGCTGATTTGACCCGCCTTGTTCACCAGGCTTTTCCGGATTATGGAGAATCTGCCATCAAAGGTGAAATTTTGCGACGCTTTATAGCTGGACTTGAACTTTCATTGCAAACTAAACTGTATGAGTTTGGTGTAACTACACTTGAGGATGCAATTAAAGTAGCTGGTCGGTGTGAGAGGGCACGTTCCACAGTCACTGAGCCTTTTCTACTGCCGACATCCTCTGCACTAGGGATGGGCGATATGGCCTAAAATCCATATTGCGATATACATTGCAGCCTCTTGCGATAACGATATATATCACGATATATAAATTATAATGGAACCATTTCAGAACAGGTTAGACAGACCATAAGGAAAGCCAAACTGCAAAATGTATTTGTTTTAAAAACATTTATTATGCAAAACTGTAATTATAGAACATAATGTTGCAGATGAATAAAATTCAAGTACACTAGCTGCAGAGACTTTAACAAAGAAAAAGCTTAAAGTATTGGGTTTATTTCCTGTAGTGCACGCCTGTTTCACACATACTCCGTGTGCAGTGCAGTGCGGTGGTGTGCGGCACAGGAGCAGCACGCGCTATTGTGCTTTCACATATGGTGCGTTTGCAGTGCGCAACTGATCTACAGCTGTACGACAAACAACATTAATCCTCTATTTTTTATTTCAAATCACTATTTATATTATTAGTGTCTTTTATAAAATAATATAAAAGAGTTTCAGCATTGTGATTCTATTTGTACACAGACAGTAGGCTAGTAATACGCACTCTTTCACAAGACTTAGGCTATTCACGTTTAAATTGATAACACTTAAAAACGTATTATTACTTCTATATAGATTTATATATTAAGTTGCTCAAGCAAGTGGCAAAACATTTATACATTTATGTTAACATCGCAAACATTTTAAATTAAAACATACATAATTGACATAAACAGCTCTCTCATACCTTTTCTTTTGCATTTAAATCTTTTTTACAAGAAATATTGCAATCACAAAGAACTTGTTTCACGAAGAGACAAGTGCATCCATTATGTCGCGTTGTTGAGGTAATGTTACTGTGTAGTTTCCTTGCTTTAATTACCCCGAGCTTAAAGTTAAAAAGAAAATGATTGAAAAATAGTATAATTTTTTTTTTTTTACTATATTAGTAAAAAGATTACTATATTTTCATATCAATCCGTGTTCATTTTGACCATGAACCATGCGCTGTCACTTTAATTCAGCACGTGCAGCACAGCAGAAATAGACGGTGTGGAAACGATCACTGCACTGCTGTATACACACCGCTCCTGGAACGCATTGCCGCACCGCATCCGCGTGCAGGCCTGTTAACATGGGTACGGAAAAAATATATAGCCTACATATGCACTGCAAACGGAATATGTGTGAAACAGGCGTTAGCCAGAACTGTTGCCCATACAGAGTATAGTTTGCTGCTGCTCGTCGGACGGCTTAAATCCGAACCAATGGATGTTGCACCGGTTTTTTTTTTACCAGCTCCTCCGTTTCGCTTTCAGCCATGTTTACTCAAGATGTCGAATACGATGATGCGTTGCAGCCGTTTGCAGCTCGTGGCTCTAAATTTTGCGGGTAGATTGCGTCAACATGCATTATCGCGATAGTGCAATATAATTAAAATCCATATCGTAGACCAATTTTGTATCGTTTATATTGCATATCGTTTATATCGCCCATTACTACTCTGCACCTGAACCTGCCAAGGTACACAGCTTCACAACTGAGTCTGCCAATATGTTCGCAGCGCAGCTCAGCATCCTCCATCTGAAAGTAGGCAAACTTCAGTCTGTCGTGACTGTTGACACAGCCTAAGCCTCATCACACCAGTGCTGTCTCACCTCCTGATCGTCACTTCACCTATCGTCAGAGATCACCTTCACTTGACAGGGTGAAAGACGATCACTATATGCCATCTTCTCGTTATCAACATTTCACTGCATCTGATGAGCCCTACTCCAGAGGAAGATCTCCTGTACGTTCCAGTAACAGTCATCGCAGACTACACGGGAGCCCCGGGCCAAGTTATCATCAGCAGCAGCAAGGGTATGATAGACCCTTACGATACGACAGTAGAGAGACTCGTTTTAGCCCTCAGCAGAGATATACTGCATACGATGACTCAGTGCCTTCTCAACCCAGCTACAGGCATCAACTGAAAGATGACAGCAGCCCAGGTGAGAACCGAGATCGATGGAGGGATGAGCAGTATCACAGACGTCGCTCTCCAAGTCCACAACGACCCCATTCACGCCATGTACACTTCGTCGAACATCAGCATTCGGGAAACGAGTGGTAACTGGAGATGAGGGCCAATCTTCAGTTCAACTGTCAGCGGCCCATAGCAACAATGCAGTCACATCTGTGGACACCACACGCTGGACACCTTACATAAAAGGCCTCGTCGAGGACCAAGAAATCAGTATTTTCCTTGACACGGGCGCTGGTTTGTCACTCATCAGTGAGGCCTTACGTCAACGCATCCCTGCACTTAAACATCGCCCCTTACTGAAAAGTTTCCAGGTGGCACACACACTGACAGGACAACAGTTAGACATTTTAGGTTCATTATCTGT